TGTGACAGTGGAGGGGACTCAGTATCACCCTCCTGTGCCTCTGCCTGGCGTGTTCATGATTCTACCTTTGTTCCTCACATTATTGAACTAGTTACTCACCTGAGGTCTTCACTGGACCGGCGTGGACTGGACTCTAGATGCTGAGTTGTTGTTGGGAGACCCTTGTTCGGCTTTAGCCTTTGGTCTCTCCCTCATATCTAGTTATAGCCTGAGCTGTGCTTGACTACTCCGTCATTAAATTCCTTATCACATTCTGGTGTATGCTGTTGTGGTGCGTGCCACGGTGTTCCTTTGTTTAGCCAAACACCTGGGTCAATAATAAAGCTTTTCCTTGTTTGTTTTCCTGCACCACGTCCCTCTGGCTCCATCTGCATTTGGGTTCAGATCTAATTTTATCCTTTATCCTTGACATGTGACACCTATGCATGTCTGAGACATGAGACGTAATGGTTTTCATTACTGATCAAGGACATAGTCCACTCCAGTGTGATATGTTACCCAACACATCCTATTCACAAAGCCTAAAGGTTAAGATTTATATTACAGCCTGTACCGAGTGGTAAGGCTATATGAAATAATACCTCCACCTCCTCCATGCTGTTTTTTTGCCCGTCCTCCACCATGGACACCTCCTCTACAGGGAGCCGACACCAGGCTATCTGGCACCATGAGGAGCCAGACCGGGGGGAGAAAGACAGCCAGGCTGCCCTGATCTTCCTCTTTGTCCTTTGGCTTGTCAACACCTTCTGGAGTTTCCTGTTCTTGCAGTAATCATATTCACTTCCTGTTTCCTGTGCCTGCACCTTGTTGTGCTTCCTACCAGATTGTTTTCAAATTAAGCTCACTAATTTCTAGATTTATCTGAACATCAGCAATTTTTTTTAGCCTGCACTACTTAAGCAGCCGTGTTACAAAATTTCTTGCTAATTACCAAATTTAACTTGTTACTTTAGGTCAGCTAGCTTAGAAGCTAGCTAAGCTAGTAGCTTAGTTGAGAGCAATGGCTTCCCCCTCTTCCTCTCCTCCTTTCTCTTGCTTGGAGTGTTGCATGTTCAGTTATTCCTCTGCCTCCTTTAGCGATAAAGGTACTTGTAATAAATGTCAGATGCTAGCAGCATTGGAGGCCAGGCTCACCAAATTGGAAATGCTGCTCTGCACTGTGGGAAACAGCCCAGCTATAATAACAATAATAATACTAAGGTCTAGACCTTAATTTGTGAAGTGTCCTGAGATGGCTTTAGTTGTGATTCAGCACTGTACAAATAAAACTGATTTGAATTGACCCTTACACTAGCTCAGGACAAGAGAGACAGACTGGAAAAGAAACTAACAACCTTTGTTCTCCTGGGTAATATTTTCTCCAACAGCAGTTTCTGTTGAGTACTGGCTCCATAGGCAAAGCAGCAGAGGGGCTGCACTAAATGCTAATGCAGATGATAAGACTCCTGAGCACAACCACACAAACTCCAGGACAACTGGACTGAAAAGGTGCTTGTCTCAGCCAAATGAACTGAAGAGACTGATTAACAGCTTCCTGCTCCTCAGAGGCTTTAACTTGACTTAACACCAGAGAACAACTGGAAAAGCAGAGAACTGGTGCATGTGCAAAATTACCAGAAAGGTATCGGTGATAAAACAGTGTGAACGCTGAATGACAACTTCAAGCAACAGCCCACATGAACTAAAAACCCTGAGGCAACTAAGGAAATATAAAAAATAATCAATATAGTCAGAGAGCAGTCTGAACGAGAAGTAAGACGAGTTACCAGAAAACCAAGAGTCAAGATTTTTTTTTATTTGCCATGTATGCATAAACAGACAGTCTAGGCATATAGGAATTCTTGTGCAGCTCTCCTTTGGAGTCAGGTAAGGAGTCAAAGGCCAGAAAGAACACTTAGTCTTAAAAAAAGTTACATAAAGGCAACAAAGCATTAAAAACCGCAATACACAAAAACAGGGTAATAGTATTTTCCCCAGTGAACTTGAAACATCGCACTTAGTAATTCACATGGTGGAGCTGGATATGTTATTATGCTTGGTGAGGTAGTGAGGGGTTATAACATACTAAAACACAGTTTATATTCAGGCCTGTTTCCATTGCTTGGCAGAGAATGTCTTGCTATTACTCAGGTCCCACAAGAGAACAGCTAATGAGATGCTCTTACAAAAATACCTTGTGGAACATTTCTGTATTATTATTGTGCATGTCTAGTGAGGGGTTATTGCACATATATTCTCACATTTCTCACATTTTTGTAAAATTTTCATAAAAGACAGGGTGAACAGAAAAGGAAGAGCAACCATACTTTTATAGTCTATGTGTTGTACCAAGCCATGTTCACAATTGCTTCTTCAGACAGATAACACTCATTCTGTAACACCATCATTTATAGAATATTCTGAGCCTTTCTTTAATTAGTTTCTGTGGAACACTTTATTTAATCCTAAACAGGACTGTGCACAGCACATCCAAACGTAATGAGGAAAATATAAATGAAAAAAGACAATAATAAAATAAAATAAACAATGAGTAAATAAAAACCTAATTTTTGTCTCTTTGCAGTTGTTTCATTGAGTCTACAACACGAAGTGTTGTTGTTTCGGACAAAATGATGAGGGGGTCCAATGATACAGAAAGCGTTTGTGCACTTGTATATTTAAACAGCATGAAGACCAGGGTGAGGACATTTTGGCTGGCCACCTTCAAAGGGCGGTTTGAGGGTTCAGACTTGGTTTTAGGATTCAGGTTAGGGTATGCTTATAGTAAGTCATGACTCTGTGTGCGTGTTTGTGATTGTATCATCCAGAGGTGTGAGCTGAGGAAGATGCTGAGTGAATCTGGACTAGACACAGTTTGCTCTGGTCCAGCTCAGATTAAATCTCCACTGATACTGATGACCTTTGATTTTGAGCTGCTTCCAAATCTGTGATTCATTTTTTCACACAAAAACCTCCCTACAGACACACACGGGAGGTGGAGGTGTGTGCTGACCTCACTGTAATCACACCAGGTGCCTGTTTTTCATCGTCCCACTGAGAAAATTCTAATTACTGATGTGTGTATGACTGTTTGTAGGATAGTGAAAGATTGCCGAGGGTGTAGATAAGAGGATTAGGATGGAATTAGTGTCATTCCTCTACCACCACGAAGAATAGATTCATATAGATTTTAATCAAAGACAGAAAGAACCACAAAAACCACAGATAAAGCAAACAGACTGCAAGAAAGAGGAGGGGTGAATGGAGAAACTGGAGCAAGGGCAGAAGACAAAGGTTCCTGGAGATCACCACACCCGGGATGTTCATCTGCACACACAGCAGCTGCACACATACATGCACGTAAATATGCACTTATGTGCATGCGAGGCAGGACGTGGAGGTTGCTGGTGGAGGAAGCTTCCAGCTGCTGTGGGATGTTCGACCAAAACCACCAGCGTTAGTCAGCAGGACAACTGGACAGTCTGACTGCAGAGATGTGGAGCTGGAGGGGGGGCTGGACGGTGGATCGTCTCAGCTGTGGAACATCAAGGTGGAAACGCTGACTTGCCTGGCCCTGTTTGCGGCCATCCTTGTTGCTATGGTGACCGGCAGTCGCAGCTCTGGATGCAGGAAGCACAAGGAGGTCTTCCTTGGAGAAAACAAATTTCAAGTTCGGAGGGTGAGATGCACAGATGCACACTTGCACGCTGTTAGAGCTCAGTGACCTCATTGGAAACACAAGCCTGTAGCGCAGATGACTGAGCAGACTATGCATTATGTCATCTGTGGGGCAGCACAGTAATCTGTAGAAAATACACAGCTACAGAGCAACATTCATTTAGAGCCGACCATCTGATAATTAGCACTAAACTATGAATGAACCACATCTGAAGATGAAAGTTTCATTAGTTTTTCTGGCATTAACTGGCCTCTTGTGGTGGTGAAATGAAGAAAAGCACCCGGTGGCCCAAAAACCATTTTCCTCACACACCACCACTAAAGTGCATAATCAGCAAAACAAACAAGCTAAAAATGATCATTCTTTGCATTGTGTTTTTTAATATTTGTTAAACCTTCATAATGAAATATATTTTCCTGATGTGATCACAGTTTGAAGTCTACAGACTGAGTGGGAGTGTGCAGGATGGGCCAGCAGGAGAAACTGTGCACAGTGTGGGAGGAAGCCCAGGAACTCATGAACTTGTCTGACTCATGCACCTGGTGATCAGAATTCATTCACATAAACTGGGCTCGACCTTTGCTTCCATGCATTTTCACATTGTTAGTTATCACTCTTTGTGCTGTGAATTTGAAAGTGTGAATGTTTTATATTTGCAGAACTTTGCCAGAAACTATACAGAGGAAGGCAGAGGTCGAATGCTTCTGGGAACTGTAAGGTGCTGCTAAAAAATATCATAAACAAAAGAACTCTGAGTAAGAAAAGTTGTATTAAAAACATTTATTTAGTCAAGTGTAATGGCTTAAAAGTCAGGGTTTCACCAAGGCAGAAAGAGTAAAAGTAGACAAATCAGCAGACACATAAAACTGACATGCAGCCAATAATGTTTGTTTGATTCCTTTCATTATTACGCAGTATCAACAGTTATTTACATATTCAAATACTGGAGTTGACTGAGCTTCTGTGTCTGTTTTGGAGTAAAGATCAGGAAGCAACAGTTTCTCTGTAGTTTAACATTAGCTAATCAGTTCTGTGCTCCATTCTGTTGCACTATTTTCAGTGACTTGTCAGGAAACTGAGCTCATGTCTGATGGAAACGTCACACGGAGGTTCCCTGGGTTTAACCATATAAAAACCACAGAGCCTTTTCATGAAGGAAATTTTGTTCTGTACATTTCTTATTTTCATTCATCCAGCTCCAGATCATTTAATTTTAGCAAGCGGCTGTTTTCGTCCTGCGATGTCAGTTTAATTAGAACCTCATGCTTCATAACCTGTGCTGCTGTCAGGTTTGCCCGGCGGCACCTTCCTCTCTTCCTTTCCTCACACTAGTTTGCTCCCTTGCACTGATTGCACTATTCGACACACCTGTCCCGCTTCCCTGATTATTCACCAGCCGCGTCTCGTTAGTTTCCCTCCGTACTTATACACTGCTCACCGTTCACTCTCCTGTCAGTTCAATCTTTGTCCTCAGGTTCCTATGCTCGTTGTTTTTATGCTAGTACGCCAGTTCCAAGTCTTCTATGTTATTCGCACCTCTTTTCGTCCCGCTGTTTCTTTCCTCCTCTACAGATCGCTCCTCTCGACCCAGGATCATCTCAGCCCTGCCAGCCTCCACCATACAGGTCGATGCACAGTCTCCTTTAACTGTCTGTACATGCTCCTGTCTCCTCAGCCACCATCATCCCTACCTCGACCAGCCCAGGAGTGATCCCAGTGTCCGCAGCCCGGCCCAGTATCATCCACCATACCCCTAACTGGTTTGCATCTGCTGATCAACACCCGGTTACCCCTACCTACATCACATCTCGATTATTGCACTGTTAATAAATATCAGCCACCTGGGTCCGTCTTTCTTTCTGTTCGCTCATCTCTGTGTTCGAGCTGCCCTAACAGCTGCTTCCAGCACAGGTTATGCCATTCTGACACGTCTGTCAGTATTTATCTGACCAGTTTTTGTGAGCTGTGTTTGATGCTGTTTTATGACCAGATTTAAACCTTTGTCCTCGTTTGATTCTTTCCCTGGGGATTATAATAGTGTTCAAAGAACTGCAGTGATCAAGTGGCTTCAGTAGATGTAGAGAGGGAAGCAAACAAGAGCAACATCGCTAAACTGTTTAACTTTAGCTTTAAGTATCAAGACACCTTTTACCTCATTTTTCTACTAATAAGGATTACTATGAATGTGCATTAATCTGGATTATATTTCAGGTCTGGAGCAGATGGATGGGTGGGAAACAAACTAGCGTCTGCATTAGCACAAACAAACAATGCGCTCATGCAGACATGTATTCTGTGCAGAGTGGTAAACACATTTAACACATTTCAGGGGTTTAAAATGATTTTGGTGCATGAACTAAAGCTCAATTCCATGTTGATGGTTCACATTCATGTTTGTCTGGAGCTCTAGTGTGAACTGTGCTGAGGGTCTAAACAGCCACACAGGTGCAGATCATCACTTTAATTTTGCAGCTGGTAAAAGTGGAGCTAATTTTATCTGCTTATTTTCTTATTTGAATTACTGCTAGGTAGCTTGTGAATTTCTCAATGTGGAACAATATTTTTGTGATTTTACTGAGTTTTATTGATCTGATTCTGAAAAGTTCTCAATATAGTGCAGTAAAAAGTACAATATTTGTCTTTAAAATGCAGTGAATTTAAAGCATGAAGCAGCAGAAAATGAAAAAACTCAAAGTGCAGATACCTCAACATTGTATTTATGTACATTACTTGACCACATGTACTTTGTTACTTTCTGCTCTCCTCAGTCTATATGTCTGGTTGGTGAGTCTGTGGTCCTGCCTGTCATTCAGGGTGGTGACAACAAAAGCACCACTGTCTGCCTTATGGCCCTGTGACATTTCCATCCACTGTAATTTTACACAGAGGGAAATCTCAGCTCTCTCTGCCTCTGATAAGCCTATAGCTCCTGTGTGTGTGAGACCCAAGAAGCCAAAGAACGGAAACTCCTTAGATCCCTCCAGGGGAACAGCATCCAGAAATACTACATGTGACATTTCTTCATATCTTGCATGTGTTAAGGATGAGTAGTATGGCTGTAGGAAGGCTGACCTTTAAAGGACATCCATAAACCTAAATGAATCCCTACAAACCACTAAAACCCTCAGTCTTTCTGCATTATATTCTCTCATCGTGATGCCAAATAAGCGCTGGTATATTTACAGCTGTACCAGGTAACCAGCCACAATTGTGATTGGCATAAAATAGAGAATAAATTTGCTGATGATGGCGAGTTGGTTTGCCAGTCCATCCTGCAGCTGAAGACGGCTTCTTCCAAAATAAAACATCCAGCATCTTCTTGGACAATGTACAGATGTGAATGAGTTAAACTCTCCAGGATTAATCCTGTATACATAGCTCTGACTGACCTGCACTCGACATGGTGCCTGTGAATTTACTACGTGGAGCCTTGCAGCAGTTGCTTTGTTACTTGTTGGGGTAGCGGCTCCATAGCCCTGCTGCTATGGTGGCATAGCTCAACAAGGTACAATAGCATAAGTTGACAGAACGAGGTCCAACCAGATAAAATTGGCAGGAACATTTTGCTAGCTACACACTTGAGGCAAGGTTTGTACAGTTTGACCCAACCAGGCATCTGTAGTTTACATTACTGCTATGAAACAGGAAGTGTTGGGAGGGGCAAAAGGTGGTGAGGAGTGGTGTATGGTGTCATTTTGTTTTGAGTCTCACTGGAGCCTCTAGCCTGAAAAGCTTTAAAATGAATGAGCTCCTTCTGTTTTCCAGGTGTGGCCATCCTCGTCGGCATTGATGTGCAGGTGGAGAGCATTGACAGTATCTCAGAGGTCAACATGGTGAGAATTACTCTAAATGAATTTCTATTTTATTTTAATTTTGTGTATTTAATTTTTCTTAATTTATGCAATTTTATTTTTTATTTCTTTTTGTTTTGATTGCTTGTTATGGTTTGTGCACTGGCTTCCTGTTTGGTGCTTTTATTTTGGTTAGTTTCCTGTCCTATATCACCTCACCTGCCCCAGCTTTACTCCTTGATCTCTACACCTGGTTGGTTCCTTTGCCTTCACATTCTGTTTCTGGACACTTGCGTTTGACGTTCTGCTGCCTCGGTTTTAGATTCTGTTTGTTGTTCTGAGTTTGTTACCAGAGTTTAGTTTTTCGCTCCCTGACCATTCTATTAATCTTTAGTTCTGTCAGGTGGAGCACCCAGTACTTTAGTTTCTTATTTTTGAATAAAGACTGATAAACTAGAGTTTGTGTCTGCACTCTGGGTCCTTCCTTTGCTTTAAATACAACATTGCTCCATTGCTTTCCTTTACGTCTGTAAGCATTTTGAGCTGTTTAAAATGTGCTCTATATAAATATGTGCCTAGCGTTTACAAAAAGCTAAAAAGCCTAAGATTAAATACTTTAATTGTGTTTTTGTTCAGTCTTCTTTGTTTAGCATGGTTTAACATGGAAGCATCTTCCTTTATAATTGAATTTCTCTGAAGAGCCAAAAGATTCTGGTGCAATGGATCATTTCAGGTTTTTATTTATGCCTGCATAGAGAAAAAACACCGTCAGTGTCCAGACTCTCTGGAATTATACTGTTTCACAGAAGAAAGGAGAGGAAGACACACCCAGATGTTAATCATTCTCCATTAACCTGATTGGTGCCCCCTTATCCATGATCTAAGTGGTAGCAAAACACTGGAGCAAGCAAAGCATATATAAACAGCAGGAAAGGAGAGGTCTAGGAAAGACAGTCACGCTAACTACAACAGAAATGAATACATTTGAACCACAGGAACAGCAGTGATTACCAAAAATAGTTGCAAGCTAATGTGATATAATATAAATCCACAAATATAAAAACCAAAGCTCAGATAAGCGTGATTTTCTTGGTTCATGTCCTTCAGGACTTCACCATGACTCTGTACCTGCATGACTACTGGAAAGACGAGCGGCTGGATTTTCCTTCTCGGAGCAACCAAAGCAGGACGTTTGACTCTCGACTTGTGAAGATTTGGGTTCCTGATATCTTCTTTGTCCACTCCAAGCGCTCCTTCATCCATGACACCACCAAGGAGAACATCATGCTGTCTGCCGACGGAAACATCCTCTGTCAGGTAGAAGGCAGGATGAGTGTGGGTGGAAACATTGAGAGGTGAAGTTCAAATCAAATCAAATTTTATTTGTATGGCGCCAAATCACAACAAAAGTCATCTCAGGACACTTTACAAAGTAAGGTCTAGACCTTACTGTTATCACTATTATTACATAGGGAAAACCCAACAAATCCCCCTTGAGCAAGCACTTGGCGACAGTGGGGAGGAAAAACTCCCTTTAACGGAAGAAACCTCCGACAAACCCTGGCTCTTGGTGGGCGGCCTTCTACCTCGACCGGTTGGGGTGAGTGGATAGAGGAGAGACAAAAGAAGAAAAGCAACAAGACACAACAAACAATCAAACATTGATCAGGTTGAT